TGTGTGTGTGTGTGTGTGTGTGTGTGTGTGTGTGTGTGTGTGTGTATGGGGGGAGGGGGTGGGTTTTGACATTTTCCTTTGTGAATTCCCTGGAACAATCCAATTTCCAGTTATTGGTACCCTCAAAGCATTGCTCAAATAACACATTTTGTTTTCCACTTAGGACAGTAGTGTGTGATTGTTGGAGAACACAGAGAGGATCAAACAGTAACATAAAACTGTCCACAATTCCCCCTTTTGGGAAGATCTGCTCCTATACCCCCTCTCCCAGGTCACTCACTATTCACACATTTCTTTCCAGTCTTTCTTTTGTTCCAGGGAGCTCTAAGACTTGGGGTCCTTAGCTTGCAAGTCACTACCTCTTTTTTCTTTTTCTTGCCTCTCAAACACCCTCAAGGCTCAGCTCAAATGCCTCTTCCTTCAGGAAATCCTCCGTGATTTCCTTCCTTCTTGATTACTTGTTTTGTTTTGTTTTGTTTTTTGGCTGTGCCTCGAGGCTTGTGGGATCTTCCCAGACCAGGGATCAAACCCATGTCCCCTGCAGTGGAAGCTCAGAGTCCTAACCACTGGACTGACAGCAAAGTCCCTTGATTACTTGTCCTTTACTCCGTGCTCTCTTCACTCTGAGGCAGAACTCAGACTTTTCAAAAGAAACTTTTAGTTTCAAAATCATTTTAGATTTCCAGACAAGTTGCCACGAGTATACAGAGAGTTCCTGTGGACACTTCTTTTAAATTCCCCTGTTGTTAACGTCTTGCATAACTGTAGCACAGTGATTTCAACTAGGAAATACACTTTTAAGTAGTGGTTATAGTTTGATTTTTCTTTTTTCTTTGTCTCTCCTCCTGGACAGGGGAGGCCAGAGGCTGGGCCAGGCCTGATTCTTTCTCGATCCCTCTCTCCTCTCCGGTACTTCACAGATCCTCTCCCGTGGACCCAGAACCGCTGCAGGCTCAACCACATCCTCTCTTTGGGATGTGGTTTGACGCCCTTCCTGGTCTCCTAGCCTCAGGATCTCCTGCTCCAGTCCGTCCTCCATGGTCAGATGCTTCTGACCATCCAATCTGACCATGCTTCTCCTCTAACACCTCCCATGGCTCCCCAGTGCCCTCTGTCTCCAGTCCAACCTCTTCAGTACCTTTGTGATCTACTCTCTACAACATCCCTAGCCTCAGTCCCCACCATGATCCCCCACTCTTGTCTTATAATTCAGCCCTTCCCAAACTCTTGTCCTGCTCTCTCCCACCTCCCGGCCTTTGCACATGGCGGTCCCTCGCTATGAAATGCCAATGGTTCCGACACACTTCACCAGACAGGCTTCTATTTATCCTGTGAGACCCAGTTTCAATGCCCCTTGGACCCTGAGCCCCAAGCCCCTCCTGTCCCAGCCCAGCCTGTGGGTGGAGGATGGTGTGGGCCATCTCTGTCTGGAATTGTGTCCCCATCCCCATACCCTCCAGCATCACCTGGTACCTTGCCTGGCCCATGGTTGTGGAGTGAATGAATGAGCTTGTGTCGTAGTGGCCTGGCTGCCAGCCCCCTCCTCCTCTGCTGGTGGTCCCTCAGCCCCTGTGGTTCTCAGACACGGTTGCAAACATGCGGAAGCTGAAGGAGTTACCCAACCACCTGATCCACTCAGTCCGCATCGAGGAGCTGAAGCAGGAGGTGCTGGATAAGGACTAGACCCATCTCGGACGGGGTTGAGCAGGTCTCCAGCCCTCTGCGGTGCTCCCGCCTTCCAGAGCCTGACAGGGGGGAAGGGGGAAGGGGAAGTTCAAAATCCTTGGCTCCTTTAAGGCACTGGTTCTCATCAGGGGCGGTTCTGTGCCACCATCACCTGCCCCCCCCAGGGGACACTAGGTGATGTCTGGAGATATTTTGGTTGTCACGAATGGGGGAGGCATGCTGCTGGCATCTAGGGCTAGTTGATAGTACACAGGGCAAGAAACTGCCTGAGAATGAGAGAGACCCTGTCTATCTATCTGTCAATCTATCATCTACCATCTCTATCTCTATTTATCTACTATATATAGTTGTCTGTTTATCTATCTGTCCTCTATCTATCTATCTATGTATCTATCTGTCAATCACCTACCTATCCACATCTATCTATAATCTATCATATCTATCATCTCTTCCTCTCTCTCTCTCTCTCTCTCTCTCTCTCTCTCTATATATATATATATATATATATATATATATAAAATCTCATCTGTCATATCTCTCTCTCTCTACCATCTGTATCTATCATCTTTACATCCATCCATCTAAATGTATCATAACTATCTATCTACTTACCTACCTATAATTTCTATCTATCTACCACCTATATTTATCATCTTTATATCTATCCATCCATCAATCTTTTATCTCTCTCTCTATTTATCTACCATCTATGTCTGCCTATCTATCTATCGATCATCTATCTGTCTATCTCTCCATCCATCCATCCATTCATTCATCCGTCATATTCATTCCTATGATTCTCAACTAGGGGGTGATTCTGCTTCCCAAGGGACACTTGTCAATGTTTATATTTTTGATTATCGTGACTGCAGAGTAGTTACTGGCATCTAGCAGATGGAGACCAGGGACACTGCTCTATACACCCTACATGACAGCCCCACCACACAGTATGACCCGGCCCCAAATGTCAGCATAGCTGAGAGTGAGAACCCTTGGGAGAAATGGGGAGGTGAGAACCCACCTCCCAGGATGAGCTGGAAGGAGACGCATGCTCCCCACAGCACCGCGTCTTCTCCCCACAGACAGCATGAACTGGATTTCCTGCCGGGGCATCTCGGGGGGGCATTGAGGGTCTGTTGGATGACTTTGACCTGTGTGCCCCTCACATGGACTGTCCTGAGGTCAGCCTGGTCCGGGAAGCCCTCCAGCTGTGCCGCCTGGCAGTGGAGCTCCGAGGCATGGGTGAGTCGGGCTGACCGGGCTGGGTTGGGTGGAGGGGTGGTCCACTTTGCACTGACTTCTAGAAACCCACTCTCTTCACCGAGCCGCCAGATGGATTTGCATTAGCTCATACGCCTTTCCTGTCTATAGCTGAGGGGTTTCTCCCAGCTCCAGCTTCTAGAACTTTGAGCTGAAGCTGGGAGAGCTTAGAAGTGAAAACTACTAAGGCAGAGCCGATCCCCTCACCAGGACGGCCCAACATCTTATTCTATTTTTTTAAATTTTGATTTATTTTTATTTATTTTTTGGCTGTGCCGCGCGGCTTGTGGGATCTTAGCTGCCTGACCAGGGATCAAACCTGGGCCCTCGGCAGTAAGGGCTTGGAGTCCTAACCACTGGAATGCCAGGGAATTCCCCCAGCATCTTATTGTGGAAAGGGCCACATAGGAGATATTTCAGGCAAAATCGAGGAAATTTTGTTGACACTTAATATAACGAGAGATAAAACATGTTCCCACAGATTTTTTTTATTGCTGAAATTCAAAATAGAATGATAATAATTGAGCATGACTTTTTAAAAATATTTATTTGGTTGCACTGGGTCTTAGTTGCAGCACGCAGGCTCCTTAGTTGTGGCATGCATGCAGGATCTAGTTCCTTGACCAGGGATCAAACCTGGGCCCCCTTCATTGGGAGCACAGAGTCTTAACCACTGCGCCACCAAGGAAGTCCTGAGCACAACTTTTTTGTAAGTCAGTTCTACTCACGAGAAAGATGAGGGGAACTCTTGTTCAGTGGGATAACATTTTACTCAGTTGGGGTTCAAAGTTGGTATTTCCTGTCATCCCACTAATTACAAACATCGATCCAAAAACATTAATGTATTTTACAAAAACCATTCTTAGCTCTCAGGACAAATTGTTCAGCTGGGTTTGGCCCACACTCTGCCCTAGAACTTTAAGAATCTCTGAATCCTCAGTTGATACTCTGTCCAGGATGGTGTTTCGTTTGTTTGCGTTTTTTAAAATTGTGGCAAAATACACATAACATAAAATTAACCATTTTAATTGTACAGTTCAGTGGCATTAAGTACATTCACACTGTTGTGCAGCCATCACCACCATCCATCTCCAGAACTTGCTCATCTTTTCAAACAGAAACTCTGTCCCCATTAAACACTCACTCCCCATCCCCCCTCCCCCAGCTCCTGGCACCCACCCTTCTACTTCTGTCTCTATGAATTTGACCACTCCAGGCACCTCATATAAGTGGAATCATGCAGTATTTGTCCTTTTTGTGTCTGGCTTATTTCACTTAACGTAATGTCCTCAAGGTTCACCCATGTTGTAGCATGTGTTAGATATCTTTCCTTTTTAAGGTTGAATAACATTCCATTGTGTGCAAGAACCACATTTTGCTCATCCATTCATCCACGACACTTGGTTTGTCTACCTTTTGGCAATTGTGAGTGATGCTGCTGTGAATATGGGTGTACAAATATCTTTTCAAGACCTTGCTTTCTACTCTTCTGGATATATACCCAGGTGTAGAATTGCTCAATCATCTGATAATTCTGTGTTTAATTTTTGAGGAACCGCCAGGCCATTTTCCACAGTGGCTGGACCGTTTCACATTCCCACCAACAGTGCATAAAAGTTCTAGTTTCTCTACATCTTCTCCAACACTTGTTATTTTCTGATTAAAAAAAAAAAAAAAAAGCCATCCTAATGAGTGTGAAGTGACCAGGATGGTTTTTTATCGTACATTTCCAAGCTGGTTCTTTTTTTTTTTTTTCGCCACACCAAGTGGCTTGTGGTATCTTAGTTCCCCAACCAGGGATACCCGGGCCCCAGCAGTGAACCTTGGAGTCCTAACCACTGGACAGCCAGGGAATTCCTATCGCAGCTGGTTTTGATTTGAGGGCTTTTACAAGGGGTTTTATAAAGGTGCTTAATTCCTATATCCCTTCCGTGGCTTGCTCAGACCTGACAACTGTTGCTTGTCCAAGAAGCCTGTCTGGCCACCACTGACACTGGACACCCCTGGCCACCACACCCCTGCATATTTCATCATTGCATGTTGTTTCCATCTACCTTAACTCTTAGTTATTATTTCTGCTGGCTTTCATTTGCATCATCTGTCTGCCTCTGCTCCTTGCCAAATGTCCACCCCTACTACATGGACCAGTCCAAGAGTATGGATTTTGAGTCCCATCATGCTGATTCAAATCTGCGCTCTGCTACTTACTGGCAGTGTGACCTTGAGCCCCTAACTACCCCCACCTCTCCCCCATCCTCACTCCCGCCTTGCAGCCTTCAGTTTTCCCATCTGCAAAATGGGGATTTGGTCGACCCTCCCACCTAGGGCTGCTGGGAAAGTTTTGCTAGTCAATTCATGCTGAGCCTGTCCCCATGGCGCCATCCGAGGATCCCGTTATGGTCATGTGACAGCACCAATGTTTTGATGTGAACGGCCTTGGAGAAGCCATTTCTGTCCTCTGCTTCCGTCATCAGCAAAATGTGGGATAGAACTAAAGTGTGTCTAGGATCCCACCCAAGTGGGAGATACTGGTGCCCATGATCAGTTACACCTTTCTCCTACATTCACGCTCGCCAGCAGTTTTAAACCTAGAAGGGAGTGATTTCCCAGGAAAACAGCCTTGGGCTTACATGCCCAGTTTAAGGGAAGATTTAAAAGCCCAAATCACAGTATGTTCTTTGCAGTGTTTCTTGATTGGCAACCTGTGGCTGCCCAGAACAAGGAGGAGGTGTAGGAATGAATGTCCCCACCAGATGGCGCAGCTGAGCAACCATGCGCTCTCACCACATTCCAGTACTGTACGGCCAGCTCCTGAAAGCCCGTTGGTATTCCCTATTTCTCCCATTGCCTCAGGCTCCAGGATGACTTGGTGTGGTGCCATTTCTGTCCCTGTTTCTATTTGAAAAGACTGATAGTTTGTTCATCATGGATGGGGGGGCGGGCGCATCTGTTTTGATTTTTTTAAATATTGCATTAAAATACTACTTATCTTGATGGTTGAGTTTGTTGGCACCACTTTAACTTTTGTACCCATGGTGAGTGGGGCACTTGCCCCGATCCTGGCCCTGCCCCATTCCACCCACCAGCAAACCCAGGCACAGGGCATTGCCACCATTGCCCCAGGCTCCACAGTTAAGATGCTCCAACAACAGGGACAAAGGGACAAAATGAACTGTCTACCTTCAATGTCCCTGGTCTTCACTTGGCATTGGAATCAAACGTTGGGGGTCAGATTCCTGCCTCTTACTGGCTGTGTGACCTTGAGTAAGTTGCTTAACTTCATACCTCAACTTTTCCTGTAATACGCTTGGGCACTTGGGATAGTAATGATGATACCTCTGTGTGGTAGGCAGAAAAATCTGCCCCCCACCTCCCCACCCCCTGCCAAGATATAGTCACTTCTTAATCCCTGGAACCTATGACTATTACTTTATATGGCAAAAAAAAAAAAAATGTGATTAAGGTTCTTGGGATGGAGAGTTTATCCTGGATTATCTAGGTGGGCCCAAAATTCAATCACAAGTGTCCTAATAAGAAGGAAGCAGAGGGAGCTTTGAAACAGACAAAGGGAAAATGTGGAGATGCACAGATGAGAAGAGGCCATGTGAAAACAGAGGCAGAAACTGGGATGATGCGCTTCTGTACCGCGGGTGGGAATGTCAATTGGTGCAGCCACTGTGGAAAACAGCATGGAAGTTTCTCAAAAAAACTAAAACATAGAACTACCATATGACCCAGTAATTCCATTCCTGGGTAAAAAAACAAAACAAAACAAAAACACTAATTCGAAAAGATACATGTGCCCCCATGTTCCTAGCAGCATTATTTACAGTTGCCAAAATATGGAAGCACCTAAATGTCCATCAACAGATGAATGGATAAAGAAGATGTGGTATATGTATACAATGGAATACTACTCAGCCATAAAAAAGAACTAAATTTTGCTATTGGCAGCAACATGGATGGACTTGGAGGGCATTAGTCTAAATAAGTTAGAGAATTACAAATATTGTATGATATCAATTGTACGTGGAATCTAAAAAAATACAACATACTAGTGAATATAACAAAAAAGAAGCAGACTCACAGATACAGCGTAAAAACTAGTAGTTACCAGTGGGGAGAGGGAGTGGTAGAGGGGCAAAATAGGGGTGGGGGAATGGGAGGTACAAATTATTAGGTGTAAGATAGGCTTCAAGGATGTATTGTACAACATGGGGAATATAGTCAATATTTTGTAATAACTGTAAGTGGAGTGTAACCTTTTAAAATTGTATAAACAATTAAAAATTTAAAAAGAGATGGCGGTGATGTGGTCACAAGCCAAGGAACGCCTGAAGCCCCCAGAAGCTGGGAGAGGCAAGGAAGCATCCTCCCCCAGAGCCCCTGGAGGGAGCACAGCCCTGCCGACACCTTGATTTCAGACTTCTGGCCTCCAGAACTGTGAGAGAAGGAAGTTCTGTTGTTTGAAGGCCCCCAGGTTGTCTTGTTATAGCAGCCACAGGACACTAACCCACTCAGTAACTATGAAGTGATGGAGAAGTGATCATTATTTCTCTAACAGACACTTGTTGGGTGCCTGACACTCAGAACATAGCAATGAACAAGACAGGCATCCTCCCTGCTATCTGGAAACCCAAGGTCTAGGGTAGGAGAGGGGGAAACCACCTGGTGCACTTGAAGTAGGGGTAAGTGTGTGTGTAGCACAGAAAAGGAGGCAGGAGGGGGGCTCCACCCAGGGAAGCAGGGCCCCTCCCCTTAACCAGCATCTCCTCTGTCGCAGAGAGAAGCATCCTGTATACAGAACTCCAGGCCAGCCTCCATTTCTTCGCCACCTCACATCCGGTGCTGGCGGGACAGCTGTGCCAACAGGCACAGAGCTGGTTCCGGATGTGCCCACACCCTGTGCTGGTGCCCCTTGGAGGATTCCTCCAGCCCCCAGGAGGACCCCTCCAGGCAACCCTCACTGGCTGTCACAAAGGTGCATCTCCCAAGCATAGTCAAAATCCCACCAGGCCCCTCCTGCCTGGGGGCAGTGGACTGCAGGTGTTTTGGGCTGCTCTCTGGGTCTCCCCTCTGCCAGCTGGGAAGCCCCAAGGGTGCCATCAGGACCTGGCCCTGCGGTCTCATGCTGACTCGGCTCCCTCTGCCCGCCAGGGACTGTAGATTACTAGTGTAAATACTGCTAATGAGCCCAGAGCGAGGGCATGCCAACTGCCTCTGGGGTTTCATCTCTAAGAGTTCGGTGCCCGTCTTATAGATAGCTTCTGAGATTTACAGCCTAATGCTAGTAAGTCTGGAAACTAGGAACTGGTGCCTGACTGGACCCTGAGAGGCTAGTGGAACTTGTAGGTTCTCCCTGGGACACCAGAATGTCAGAGGGACAAGAGGATTTAGTTCTCTCTATCTATTTTTCATCCATCCATCCTTCCTTCCATCCAGCTGTCCATCTGTCTATTCATCCCTCTACCCATCCCTCCATCCATTCATCCTTCCACCCTTCCTTCCATCTATCCATCTGTATGTCCTTCCATCCTTCCTCCCTCCTTTATTCCTTCCTCCCTTCCCATCCATCCATCCATTCATCCATTCACCCATCAGTTGTCCATATTTCCAATAGTCACCCTTCTATCCACACCACTTACCTTCCATTTCCCCCAGTTTGCCATCTTCTATCCCCTCGCTTTACCCCTTCACACACTCAGCCAACTCACCCACCCATCTATCAAATAATTCATCCAGTTACCCATCTAACACCCACACGTTCACTCACCCACTCATCTAACCAGCCATCTATCTGTCCACTTATCCACCAGTTCACCTCCATTCATCCATCCCTTTATCTGCCTACCCATAATCTCTCACATTAATCACTGAATACAGTTAGCTTTGGTTCAAATGCCAATTATTGTGACTCAGGCCATTTTTGTGCCACATAGCC